CAGTTCTCCTTTCTGCTATGTGTCTTCGTTTGTGCTACATTGTTTGATGATTCAAAGTGAAACTGCATGCCCTCCATTGCCTATTTAACATAATTCTTGACATAATGGGCTTGGGAATAGTCTCCAGTGGATGATGTAGCACAATAATGTGTGGCTGCTGGAAATGTTTAGCTACAGAACTGCCAACAGCACACCTGATAGCTATGGCACGGAACTTCACAGTGTGATACAATCACAGGCATACTATTGCTGTTTTCAAATGTTGCCTGCACTGCATATACCTCTATATATTATGTACAGTTGAATCCACTTATAACGAAAACAGTTTCAACAATATATCAGTTATACATTGAGAGGCTGCAGCGCACCGTCAACTTTCATATGTGTACTATAGTGAACTAACCCACTTAAGCAATGCCTGCATGCCGCATTATTGAATATAAGAATGAATTCCGGATGTTGGGTGCTGTAGTGAAAAGTGACGAAATCCTTGACAGAAATGAAATGTAATGAAATGCAAAATCCTTGAAAAGGAAGAAGAAAAGGAGAAGTCCAAGGTGCTGAATCCCTACCCACAACTCCAATAAGCACGCCTTTAAGTTGTAATATCCTTCGCTACACAATGATGTAATATTGCGACAAAGCTGACTTTTGAATCCACAACGCAGTAGTGGCGCGGCCGCTACTGTTATGCAATTAGGGACATGCAATTTGAGTAAATTGAATTTGAGAATTGCAAGAGTTTTAACATCTGAAACATTGTCATACATTGGCCCAATCTCGCTTGTGGTGGTCCGTGAAAACATACAAATTTTCCTGCATGTCCAAAAAATTGACAGCTTCGTATTGTTTATCAGTGATATATGTTGGCATATCTCATCCAATATAACTTTCTCACAACAACCTGCCACCCCTTTTTTTTGCACAGACCATCTATAGGAGTTATTTGTTGTAGAAATAAAATTTTCGTGGAACCTGGGTCTTATTATAAGTGGGTTATACTGTATATGGCCCAATTCAATTATGTATCTGCAATATCTGGCATCATAAAATAATCAAGAACAAATGACGACTGTCAATAGCCATGCGTGTACATGTGTGAGAACCCACACACTCACCCACTCACACACGAACACATGCACTACATTTTTCTACAAATGGTCAAGTAAATTTTTATGAGCAGCAATAGTCAATTGCAAAAGGAAATGTTAATAGGAAATAGAAAGCGAATTGTACAACTTCTGTAGCATGCAGTCTTTGAAAGCAGACAATCTCTCATATGATACGTGAACAATTTATTATAAAAAATGCAGTTAGTTTTGCCTTCCATAAGAAGCCTAACTTAAGAACCTGAAAACTTTGGCGAAGTTGCTTTTCACTCTGAAAACATACAAAATGAGACCATCACCAGTCAAAATACTTGCTGCACTTGTCTCCTTGTGCTGTGTCACAGTTGAAAACACCAGACCCAATAGCAGATGCCTCAGCTTCTTGAGACTCTGCACCAGTACAAAATGCATAAATTTAGTATGCAATATGGTATGATCATGAAAAGCGAAAGATGCAGTTAGTGCTTCTTTCGAAATATATTGTCTTAGCCTAAGGGTGAATTCACAGGGCATGCACTGAACAGCAACAGCAAATACACGGTTTACCAAACAAAAGTCTATCCAAATATTATTTAAAGAAAATAACCTCAGCACATCCACTGGCCAGCTGCGGAGCTCTATTCTTCTGCTACTGTCCTTCAACATCTTTTCCTCACTTGAAGCCTCCACCTTTGGCTGAACTTTTACAGTGATGATGATGATAATGATTATTAGTTCTTATGCCACAAGGACCACATTTGACCAAAGAGAGCCATGCCATATCTAGGTAGCATTCGCAGAGAGCAATCTGACAGTTGTGTAGCCAGGACTGTGCCCCAACTCCGCTCCGAAATTTTTTTCACTATGGCATACCAAACACAATACGACACACAACCACATCTGCCTGCTTGGGCTCGAGCTCAAATCAAGCGCGCTCTACACCCCACCTTAAGAAAAAGTTTCTGCCTATGTCCCTGACCTGTAAAGATGTAACACACCTCTAAAGCGGTCTAAAATATATGTAGTATGAAAGAATAAAACATTAGCAGTTATATATATTACACAATAATAGCAGTGAGAGGTGTAGTGATCTATGGGTGAAAATAGAAGACACTACAGGGGGTGAGGATTTATTTTCACAAGCAAAGAAGGGTAAATGGCACTAATGCCTGCTTAAGGCCTTTGAGCAAGATCGCCCAGAAGGCTCGGGATTTCTTTATTACAACTGCAGCAGCAGGAGCAGCAGCAGCAGCAGCAACCTTTCTTTAGAGGACAGTCTATGGATTGCATGCAAAACATAATGGTAAATATCTATGCACATGTATGTAAATCTTTTAGAAATCTGAAATGTTACTCATATGAAAACGGGTTCTCTGATAATAAACATAGCATGATAAAGTGCAATTTCATACCTGAATGATAACAGAAAATGCTTTCTTCCATCAATTTGTTCCCCATTCGTGCATTGCAGCAGGATTTGAGAGACAGTAAGAGGCTCACCACATTTATTACACAAGAGTGAATCCCCACTGGACAAAAATTAACTGTGTGTACTGAATGTGTCGTATTCTGAATCTATAAAGTGCTACTTCTATGCGACGTATCTTTGATATTGGCAGCGAACTATCAAGAAATGACTTGATAAGATGTAGTTTGTTTTGGGTTTCCAATATATAAACACTGCCAATAAGCCCGGAGCTTTCATTT